ATCACTTTCCCTGTTCATTGTTAATACTCATATTCTGAATCAAATTTAAGAGGGAAGCTGGGAAGATATGTCTAGAAAACACTCAGTTCTCTTTTGAGGAATTAATTTGAAGAGGTGGGAAATATAATGATGCCTGAGGAAAATATTCCTATTAGGTAGTGTACGACATTATTGAACCATAATTTCATGGTTGGCATTTGAACTCAGTGGCTGCATCATGGGAGAAAGTGCCATTTTGTTTCTGTAAAGATTGGAATCCATGAGAGAGTCTGCATTCTCTTATCGGGTTACTATGAATGTGACTGGAAAGTAATGGATTTGGGTATATATTATCTAGGATCATAAAACAAAATTCTTTAAATATTTATAGATTGTTATTGTCGTCTCAAATCCTGTTTTCATGATCTGTTATTCACACAGGATTGCTTACCCCAAAATATATTTTCTTCCCCCCCCAAATGTTTATTAATTTAGCTATCATTCTTGTTCTGTGGGTGTATTTTTATTTATCTCATATATGCTCACCACTGGACCAATTGGCAGCATCAGGATGGAAGGTGAAGAGATTGAGATTGTACACAGCTTTAGTTTGCTTGGCTCCATAGTCAACAGTCTTGGCACCAGCAGCCAGGAAATTAAAAGGCGCATTGCCATGGGAAAGTCTGCTGTTAGGGACCTCTCCAAAGTACTGAAGAGCAATGGTGTCTCTCTGGAGACTAATGTGCGTCTGATACAGGCCATGGTCTTCGCAATCACTTGTCATGCATCAGAGAGTTGGACAATGAAGAAGGAGAATTGATGCCTTTGAGCTGTGGTGCTGGAGAAGAGTATTGAGAATACCATGGACTGCTAGGAAAACAAACAGATTCATCCTGGAAAGGGTTAAACCGGGTGGCTCCTTGGAGGCAAGGATTCTGAGGCTCCATCTAACATACTTTGGACATGTTGTGAGGAGAGACCGGTCCTTAGAGAGTGACATCATGCTTGGGAGGGTGGAGAGACAGCGCAGGAGAGGAAGGATTAATTCAGTGACTGGGATAATTGGGATGGGAGTGTCAGAGACAGTGCGATTGGCACAGGACAGAGCGGAGTTTAGGGCTGTTGTACATAGGTTCACTGTGAGTCGCAAGCGACTCGATGGCACATAACAAAACAACAACATGCCTAAACTATACTGAAACTAACTCTTGATGTTTAATAGAGATGGAAAGAGAGAGGGGAGTAAAAGTTAATAAATAAATTGAGTGAAGGGGAAAGCAACACTTTATATAGGTAGATTAGATATTATAATTAATCACAATCAGTGGTTATTAATGTTATAAAACAAAGTATATGAATGATTGTATGGAAAATCAATAGGATTTGTAAAGTTTCATCCAAGTGAAAAGAAGAAGAAATATGATGGTGTTTCTGGCTTTTCCTTCCCCTTAAAAAAGGCATCTTCAAGTCTTCTACAGAATCTACAATTGGTATTTGGAGAAAAATAAATTTTCTCAAAATGAAAACAAACAACACACCATCACTAAAGGGAGAAAAATCCAAAAATAAAAAGAAATAAACTCTTTAATAATTTACAATATTTTAAAATGTGAACATTCCTGTTACTAATACTTAATTTTCTTTAGGTTCTTGATTTACCTGAAGAACCACCTGAAACAGCTGATGAAGTAAGTTTTTCTCCCTTCAATGTAGTCCTCCTTTTCCTTTGTTTAAATATATCATCCCTAAAATTGGAGTTCTTGATGACTACATTATTAAGCACTTGACTCCTGCCTTGGAGCGCCACAGCAGACAGGTCGGGTGATCTTCTTCAGACCCTAGTTTAGAAAACTCTGCTTTGCTTACATGGGGCAGTTCTGCTTTGCACATACAAGCCTCCCAAGAATTGGAATTGATGCTGAGCTGTTCTCTCCTCTGTGTAGGAGGCTGTGGGGAAGTTGCACAGCCTCTACTAAGAGACTGAATTAGGGAACATTGTTTTTCATCCAGTCTAGGCTTTTTTCTCGTCTCGACTCTTGGTTTGGTAGGCCACTGTAAAAGGCCAGCTCCAATCTAGGTATTGGGTAGACAGAAGCATTTTGTATGTGAGGTCTTCTATGGAAAACTCTGTAATAACTTCCTAAACAAGTATTAAAAAACTGTAATTTTTAGGTTTTTACAGAATTATTTCCATATTCATAGTGAATTTTATGTAAACCTTGATGTTGGTCTACTCTCAGAGCTTCTCAGAGCTAAAAACCTTATGTGAGTTGTTATAATTACAGATGGTTAATAGTAGAGTTATCTCTGGGTTGTCCAAATAGTTAAGTGCTCAACAACTAGTAAAAAGGTTGGCAGTTCAAATCTCAAGAGGTGCCTGGGAAGACAGGCTTGTGAAAAGTCTGCCTTGACAATGTTGAGGAGCATAGTGTTCAACTTTGACATATTTAACAAGTTCATTTATTTTTTAAATAAAGGAGCTCTTGTGGCCAAGTGGGTATGGATTTGGTCAGCCAACTCAAAAGCATATGGTTCTCCTGAGCTGCTCTTCAAGAGAAGGCTGGACAGTCTCTTCTAGAGCAATTGACAACGTTTGAAAACATGCTGGAGGATCAGATGAGTTGGTGTGATGTTAAGAGTTTATTATTAAAAATGGCTTACCTATCCATTAACTTACTTTCCCATGTGGATGGGTGGGAATATGCAAATAGGGTCTGCTAGGCTATCCACAAGGAGATTGGTTAATCTCATCAGTCTGCAAAGGGATTGGCCAAACTCACCACTAAATTGAGCGGATCCAGCCGCTGAATTGGAGGAACCTCACCAACAGAAAAGAAGAATAAAACACAACTCATCCTTCAGGACGAGAGATTCTTGCTCAAGCCTGACTAAGGTTTATGGGATCAACAGCCAAAGCAGTCACAGCAGAGAACCAGAGACCTGACATGAGACAGAGCAGACCTTGGGACTGCTTTGCCACAGAACTGGAGCCTAGAACATTTTGTCCAAGTTTGTTGGAGGACTGGGAAGGAGAGAGACATAATTGGCAGGGCTGAGAACTTTATTACACTGGCCTAAAGCCAGTGAGCATATTTTGTAAGCTCTCCTGATAATATTCTATTACTAATCTGGACTATAACCTTTTGACTTCCCCAGTACGTTTCTGTGTGGTCTGTCAGCTATCACATCAGATTCTGGACTTAGTAAAGCAGTAAGACTTGTGTTGAGTGGAAAGAGGTGCATGGGGGACACATATGACCTCATGCGAATTGTTTTTGAGTTGTTGATGTTTTGGGGCAAGGACAGTTTCCCTTGTGAAGCTGGTAAAGGTCAGTTTTGGCTATCCTCACATGGTCTTTGCTCTTTTTACAACTGATTTAGATTCTGACAATGAACTTGAGAATTAAAAAAAAAAATAGTAATTTGAATTGCAAAGAGCAATGGATTGAAACTCTTATTTGAATATTTTTATTTCTTAGGTAGTTACTGTTGCTCTTCGGTGTCCAAGTGGACGTTTCCTGAGGAGACGGTTTTTTAAGTCTTGTCAGTCACAGGTGAGAAAATGAATAATTTTGTTTTGGAAAATTTGGCATGTTTATTTATATGCAGTGGGAAGTCTGAAGCTTTATCATGTAAGGCTAACAGGCCTAGATGGGCTCTGTTGTTGGAGCAGTTTGGACGACCAGGCATGCTGAGCCTTTCTCAAGTGCATTACAATCAGCATTAAATTTTGTTCAGTTTTTCTTTTCTCTATTTTTTTTGTTTCTATTTCATTTTTATAGCTTGGTGGCTAAAATGTTGTCAGCTGCCTAGGAATCACCAGTTTTAACTTTATTTCTATTATTCCTTCAGGGATTATTAAAGTAAACTCCACTGCTTAATATGTGATTTTTAGATGATTTCCAAGGAGCTAGTTGCTTTTACAAGATTTTCTCTTGTAAAAACATAGACATGTAGAGGGAAACTAAAATCAGACCTGCACTCATAACATTAAAACAAATAACTAATACTTAGATATGTTTTATTTTTTAAGTCTATTTAAACATGTAATTATGTATGTAAATTTAGTTTTCTTTTCTGATTGTTGCATTTAATTCTCTATGACAAGAATGGTATCAACCATAATTAAAAAAACACTGACAGACTTGACTATAAAAAAGTAATATAATTAAAAAATAATAAAGCTAAAAGACAAACTTTTTTAAAAAAAAATGCTTATACTATTCATGTATGGTAGAGCCAGTTTTTATAGGGAGCTTTTATAAATAAAGTAAAAAATATTTCAGTGGAATAGCAGATAAAAACATGACTAGGATCTGCTGAAGAAGAAAAACAAATGACAAAAAGGAAGGCCACTTGGCCACACTTAGAATCTAAGAAGTACAAATGAAAATGAGACACCTTTTAATGCATTATTAATGCATCTTTAATGCAAAGATTAAAAAGAATAATATCCATCTTTGGCAAATGTATAAGAAAAACAGGATTTCTCACAAAGTGTTTGTATGAATGCAAATTTTACTAGCATTCTTATAAGAAACTTTATTGGTGTATATGTTTTTAAATATTTATTTTAATTAGTAATTTAATTTATAATTCTCCACAAAAAACCATTCAGAAAAGTTTGTGTCTGTAAGATGAGCCAACCATATCAATCTATTGAAAAAGCTTTAATAATTATGATGTCAGTGTACATTTATTACTTAGTTTAATATTAGGGTCTTGATGGGGCAGGCAGAAGTCAGAAATGGTCTGTATTTTGTATTCTGTCTTCCACTGGGAACATCCCATCAGACACATTTTTTCCTAAAGTGGCAAACTATCTTTTAAAATAAAATATGTTTGAGGAAAGTAGTTTTTAGACAACAGTATACACATATTTTGATCATCACTTTGGGAATCTTCATAATGGTAGCTATTATAAAATTATAGAGATGGCCTATTGAGGATATTTGGGCACTTGGTTGTCTATTGTTAATTATTTTTATCATTTTTTTATTAATTTTAATGAAAATTTAGAGACTTTGGATTTCCACTCATTCATTGTTGAACTTTTCTCCCTGCCTACCCTCCGCCCCCCGCCCCGTTACACTCTTCTCTTTGAGAAATAAAAGTTCCGCCATTGTTTCACAATCCCCCCACTCAGGTCCCCTACACTGCATCCTTCGTTCTGGACTCCTGTCATGACAATAATACCCAATCACAAATCCCTTTTAAACAGTTTTCTCCTCATCTGTTTAAATGCAGTATACATTATCCATCCCATCTTTATTATTATTATTATTATTAATTTTTAATTTTACTTTGGTTTGCACACAATAGTCATATACATTGTTTCACACTATCCTTCATTCACATTGTGAATTCACATCGTTCTCATACATTTGTGGTATAAAATCATTTGCCAATAAACCATGCCCATCATTACCCTCATTTTCATATGGATTCAATTTTTGTGTAAAATTATTTTCCCTCCAAATGCTAACTTTGTGTTCTTAACCTACTATATGAATACCCTTCCTATTCCCTTATGCCCCTGTTGTATTCAGGTGCCAACTGTCCTTGGGCTTCCTCTGAAACAAAGTATTAAAAGTTATAGTTTTTTAAAAAGCATGCTGTTTTCCTTTAAACCCTGGGAAGCTTCTTTGAAAGTTATGAAACTTTCATTTTTTCAAACATCATGACTTAAAAATTATGGGAGATCTAGAGGGGTGTAAGTGTTTTAAGTATTTGATAATGACTAAGGTATTTGTCTTTCAGGTCTTACTTGACTGGATGATGAAGATTGGTTACCACACATCCTTATATGCCCTTTCTACTTCCTTTCCCAGAAGGCCTCTGGACATGAAGGGAAGTTGGACACTGGAGGATATAGGAATAACTGTGGATACTGTACTCAATGTGGAAGAGAAAGAGCAAAGCAACTAATTAAGAAAGGAGAACTACTTGTTCTACATAAAATCAATTGTGCTTTGCCCTTACAGGCAATAAAAGATTCAGCTAAAATTATACTATACATTTAGTTAAAGCCAGCCTACGGAAGTCACCTTCCTCTGTCTTTGTATGACCTTTTGCATTCTTTCAGGTTGATATTCTTGATATCCTCCCACAGCTCATCTGGTCTTCATTCATTAGTATTCAAGACCTCAGACTTGTTCCTGAGATGGTTTTTAAATTCAGGTAGGATAGACTCAGGGTCATATTTTGGATCTTGTGCATTTTACTTTTTTTTTCTTTTCCTTAAGCTTGAACTTGTATTATGAGTGGTTGATGGTGTGTTCCACAATCAGCACCTGGCCTGGTATTCACAGCTGATACTGAGCTTCTCCAATGATTATTTCCACAGATGTAATCAATCTGATTTCTTTATAGACCACTAGGTAAAGTCCATGTGTATAGCGACCATTTGTGTTTCTTATACAAGGTATCTGTACACTTTACCAAAGAAGACATTCACATGGAGAACAAGCACATAAAGAAATGTTCAAAATCCCTATCTCTAAGAGAGATGCAAATCAAAACAACTATGAGATACCATCTAACCCCAGTCAGAATAGCAAAATTCAGCAGAGCAGCAAACAACAAATGCTGGCAAGGTTGTGGAGAAACTGGACCCCTTCATTCACTGTTGACGGGAGTGTAAAATGGTGCAACCACTATTTTTTCTCAAAAAGTTGCAAATAGAAATACCATTTGACTCAGCAATTCCACTACTGGGAATATACCCTAAAGAAATTGTAACTGCCACCCAAGCAGATTTATGCACACCCATGTTTATTGCTGCTTTGTTCACAGTAGCAAAGAGTTGGAAACAGCCCAGATGCCCATCAACAAACGAATGGATGGAGAGGCTGTGGTATGTTCACACAATGGAATACTACGCTGCATTGAAAAACAAGAAACTCATGCATTAATATACAAAATGGGTGACCCTGTAGGACATTAATGCTGAGTGGAATATCTCAGTCACAAAAGGACAAATATGGCATAATGTCACTGTTCTAAAACAAACAGTACAGTACTGACATGGGAGCTGGGGGAAACAAAGAGGGAATAAATAATCTACACAGCATTGAAACAGACAAGGGAGAGAGCTGTATAAAAGGAATATATAAGTAGGTATTATTGACATGACAAGAGTCCAGAATAAGAGCTGCATAGTAAAGTGTTCTTGTGTGTGTGTGTGTGTAGGTGTGTAGGGTGGGGGAACAACTGTATAACAATGAAAGAACTTTTTTCCCCAAGAATAAAGTGATCTCGGGGGGAAGGGAGCAGGGAGGAAAATGTTCAACAATGAACAATCAGAAATCCAAGTTCTTTATAAACTTTCACTAAAATCTCAATAAAAAATAAAAGGTATTTGTAATGAATAAATCATTGATTGTACAAAATTCTACCATTCCATCTTTAGCCTTATTTCTGTCACCAAGTCCTTGTTTTCTCACTACCAGTTCTCCTTCATTGTTCCTAACTTTTGCATTCCAGTCACCATTTTTTCCACCCATTATTATTAATGCATCTTGGTTGCACATCTGATTTATTTCCAACAACAAAAGTTGGTAGAAATAATCTATTTCCTCCTCTTTGGCTCCAGTGAATGATAGTGGTATTAACAGGTCTTCCTTGTAATCATATGGGCATTAGCATGTCACAACATTGTAATTTCAAGATGGGTCTAGAATTGGTCTTTTTAACTATGAATGTGACTCCCTTTTCCCTCACCTTTTCATATCTGGCACAGTAGACCATGTGATTGTCTGATACAAAATATCCCCTGCCAGTCCATCTTATTTCATTCATGCCTACTATGGCAGTATTTATGCATTCTATTTCTTCAACAATGTTGAATTTTCCTACATTCATAGATCTCACGTACCACATTCCAATCTCTAGAGTCTGTCTGCAACTGTCCCTCCTCCTTTGTGCTTCCCAATATGAGGGCTCATATCAGTATCTGCTAGTCTAATTGTATGTAGGGTTTTCAAAGCCCTCTTATTTCGGAAGTGAATGTTCAGTCCTTCTTCACTGTCTTTGGATGTTCAGCTTTAGGGCAGTATCTGATGGACAAGCATTTTACCCAGAAGAGCAAATGAAGGACCTTCCAGTTACATAGCTAACACATTCTGTCTTTGTCCTGCCTCCCCCATCGGTGCATACATCGTGGTCCTGATCCCCCTACACCCTGTCAGCATACTCATAGGATTCCTTGCCTTGCCCCACCCCACCAGCACCTTTCTCACCCCTCTTCCCAAGTAGGCTAGATATGATGGCCCAGACCTATGACCTCTTCTGTCCGCTTATCTCTCTACTGCCCAGTGGTGTTGGTGCTCTGTGCAGGTCTGGGGTGGCACAACTGGTGAGGGTGGGGTGCAGACCCAGGAGGGTGTGGGGTGGGGTAGGTGCACTAATCACTAATCTACTTTACTGAGATGGATGAGACGCTGGATATTGTACTAGAACACAGACACCAAAGCAAAAGGAAGAAATCAAGATATTAAGGAGCTGAACAGAAGATTTCAAAGGGTAGCTCAGGAAGACAAAGCAAAGCATTGAAATGAAATGTATAAAGGGCTGGAGTCAGAAGATCAAAAGGGAGAAACTCACTTGGAATTTCTTAAGCTGAAGGAACAAATATAAACCTTGAGTTGCAATACTTAAGATTCTGTGGGCACAATATTTAATGGCCCAGGAAGCATCAAAAGAAAATGGAAAGAATACACAGAGTCACTGTATCAGAAGAACTGGCTGATACAAAAAGAATATCATGAAACAACATATGATTAAGAGGCAATGATGGGAAAA